ACTGATCTCTATATATTTATTTGATTGATTTAATTCTACACCTACCTAAATTGGCTTTTTACTAGTGTTATGTTTTGGTTAAGCTGCAGTCACAACTCACAACTCGAATAGACAATTTCAACAATATTCACGTCGTTTTTTTGACTTGTAACTTGATAATATTTTTAATCATAAGAACATGTGATAAAACTCGAACTATATTTTAGTCAAACAATTGGCTTGTAGATTTAACATGAAGATGGAGAGAAGAACAATAGTGATGGGACATGAGATGAAAACAAAGTAAGGAAATGAACATTTATGCATGAAGCATGGGGCTGATAATGCACATTAATGCGGTAATTTAAGGGGGGGTACCAAATTATTAAGACCTACATACATAATGCGACATTGAGAATTTCCTAGTCAAACACAGTCACCTGACAAAAACTCGTTAAACTGGAACAGAACTCCATAAAAGCTGTGTTAAATTAATGTGGGAGCAAAACAGGAGTACTACTTCTTCAGTGTGTGGAAATTGCTGTTTCGGATTGGGTTGGGTGGCTGGGATCATCCCAAAATCCCCCCGTCCAATAACTTATCTTCAAGTGGAGTAAGTTCTTGTAAAAAAAAAAACCAAAAGTCTAATAAATGAAAAAATAAAGATTAATCTAACAAAACTACCTCTTCATAATAATAGTGAAAAAAACCCTAAAAAACATGTTCTTTAATCTTAAAATTTTCGTCATTAGTCATTTACATCGCATTTTTTTCCCCTTCAAATTGACTAACAAACTTCTGAATATTCTAAAATATTTTGCATTTGTAAAGAGACAAGTTTCATTCCAAAATAGAATTACTCGACTTGAATCTAAACTAGACAGAACAATCGTTTCAGACAAAGGGTATAATACAAAAGAAATGAGATGGACCGAAATTGGTGAGATGTAGATAAAGTGGGGAGTTCCCATTTTGTTGATTAAAAGTCTAACTAAATTTAAAAAACAAAAAAAAAAAACCCTAATGTGAGGAGGAGGGATTGATAAACAATCCTATCATAGATAGAAAAAATAAAGGAATAGCAGCTAAAAGGAGGTGAATTAATGTGAATGCCAAAGCTCCAACCACCTCTCCTCTGCAAACCCACTTCACCAGCAGTATTAGACTTGGATCCATCTTTTAGATTAGCTTAGTAGGTTTTGTATAGCTTTTTGAAAAGAGAGAGAGAATCATGTTTTTGAGCTCCGAGAGAGTGAGTGATAGCGGTAGAGACCCGTCTAATCAATCCCTTCCCCCTTGAATCTTGACAAGACCTCATCTTTTTTTGAAAAAAAACATCCATGATCATCCTTCATGATTGCCTGTGGTAAAAAGAAAAGATGTTGGTTTTGTTTTAATTTTGTAGAAATTTATGTAATCATCAGGAATTCACACATGTCATTACAGCTATACCTCTCACTCTGAGGGTATGTTTGGATTACTTGTTTGTGCGTATTTTTAGATTTTTTTTATTAAAAATGTAAAAAATTATGTTTAGATGGGATATTTATTTATAAAATAATCTACTAACTAGTGAATAGTTACTATTTGACAAATATTTTATAGGAGTCAATATTTTCTACATCTGTTTTGTGGAATGTAGTTTTCATCAACCCTAAATTACTCGATAAAGAATGAAATCTTTACTTATTTGACCAAAAAAAAAAAAAAAAAGTATTGGTAGGGTTCAAATTTGATGGGTACAAAGTGTATCAAGCATGTGGTATAGGATAGTGTGACTCTAGTATTGAATTAATGATATAGAAGAGGGTTGGGTAAGCAAAATCCTAATAAACGTAACTTATAGTCCTAAATCTTTAGGCGAATATTGCTGAAAAAAATGTGACCATAAATAGAGCAAACAGTTGGTCAAGATTGAAAAATTGAGATGACAATCCAACTTGTACTAAAATGCTACAGAGTTTTTTTTTTTTTTAGGAAAAAAAAAATTTACAGTGCCTTACTCCATCCATCAAAGAGACTATTAGAAAAGCTAGCTGGAAAGACCCTCAGAGTTTAGGTAACAACATTGATGAATTAAAACAAGTCTACCTATATATAATAGACTAGCTAGCTAGGGTTATAAAACACTTACTAGACTAGAGAGACTGATCATATTCAGACAGTACTCCTCCTCCAATCCCTTCATGAAATTACTGAGATTGATTGGAAAATAGGGTTTTTCTTGTTTTGTTTTTCTTCTTCATTATAATAAATTTCTTCACTGACTTTCCCGTGAACCATCCAAAGAAGGGGATAAAACCATGGGGAAAAGGATTCCAGAAATAGATATTGATAAAAAGGTGAAGAAGATGAAGAAACTGTTGGTGGTTGTGTAATGTAATCTGTTTTTTCTCTCACAAGTCAGTGAGTAGTTAAGCTCTAAAAGAAACAGTACAGTGTACAGTACTGACATGGAAGATCACACTCAAGTGTGTGAATTATGAAACTATTGGTTTAAACAAGAAAGGGGGTAGGGGAAGGTGACATCATTCAAGTGTTCATACTATAAATGGAAACTGAAGTTTTGATTAATTTTTACCCAACCCAACTTTTTTTTTTTTCTTTTCTCATGATTTGCTATAGTAGATGTTAACAACTCATAGCACAAAAATGATGAAAAAGAAAACACTACATTTGAGATGAGTAATCTCCCAAAGTCCTTCCTAGCCTAACTCTATATATATGTTCGTTCATCTTCGGGTTTAACAAACATTTGAGTAGGTCGACTTAGCTAATAGAGGCTGTACTTTCGATGAATTTCATACTATCTTTTTACCTTAACCTCGGTTGGTGGTCCTCCTTCATCATCAGTCACCATCTATTTTTTTTATTTTTTTTATCTGGGGGTTAATATAAAGGTATGTATCCATACAAATGTACTGCATTTGATCTCATTGTTCAAATGTCTTATACAGTAGTGCACTAAAATTTTTTGAGCTTAAACTTTATTTTACATTGTATCATTTATTTTTCTTATTATACTAGTACGAACAATTATAGATACATATAAATTTCTTTTCTATCTGTGTCTTCTCTTACAATAACGCTATATATTATTTGTATCACCTTATGTCAAATGCGTTGGGTTTATATTTCGGTTTTTTTTTTAATATATTGTCACAAATTTTGAGTTATTCAACCTATGTTCATAGATTTGCAAACTAAAAAGTGTAGAAAATCATCATTCACAAATTTGAAAATAGTAGTCAAACACTCAAACCGTCTCATGTGGTCAAAGTCAAGAATATGTAGGGGTAGAGATGGAAGAACAACACAAAGGCTAATAATAAAACTTAAACGTTTGAACAGTTTAGACTTTAGAAAGGGTGTAAGAAGTTACGCAACTGTGCATGGGGGAAGAGAAAGAAAGGTGTCAGTGGAAGAAGTGATCAGTGGGAGTAATTGGTGTGGAAGAAAGAATGTGTTGGCATTGAAGGAAAAGGACAGTCTTTTCTTTGATCTTTTTGATTTTTTATTTTTTTATTTTTTTTCCTTCATCATTATTGTTGTTTGATTCAGCATCCATCCCCAGCAGAGAAAGAAAAATGCCAGAAGCCAAAATTTAATTTAATTTTTTTTTCAAACAACAGTATTGAATTTCTTTTGAACAAAAATTCAGTCGTCGACTTGTTCATCGAGTCCACGTGCGCATTGATTCAAGCATCCTATGTGCTGTTTCCATTGAGACAAAAACAGGCCCAACGGTTCATAGTCACACCCCCCCCACCCTACGTACACATATCTCCTCACTTCTGTCCAAATCCCCCTGTAAATTCAATGCTTTTAACTGCTCTTTTCTTCCCACTGTAAATTAAATCCCTCTTTCTTTTCTTATGTTCTTTTCTTTTTACTGCGAAAAATTCTAGACAGATCAATAATGAAGAACAATGTAGCTTGTGAGTTTCAAAAAAACAAGTTAGAGACTATGACCAAAAGAGGAAACTTACTCACACGTTTGCAATTTATTCGGTACAACCCGGCAGAGAAGTAGATATGGTTAAGGTAAAGAAAAAAAAAAGAAAAAGAAAGGAAATTTCTTGCTTATATACATACATATGTATTATTTAATAATGTCCTTGATAAAAGGTAGTACGATCTGCTGAGAAGGAATTGAATTGACTCCCAGAAATTATTTAGTAGTAGTATAATGATAATTTTATTAGCTGAATGAAGCAGAGGGCAATTCCAATCCGCAGAGAGACTTTTTTGCCCAGTTGATCATTTCCAAGAAACAGAATGCAATACAAGAGTATTTATTTATACCCCATTCAACCCTAAATAATTCAACCCCATTTTTCTCTGCATTGAGTAGAGTCAGATTTTTATTTATTTTTTGTTCAAGCAAGTAAGCCTTACATCATTTGCATCAGAATGTCAGGGTTTTTTTTTTTTTTCCCCAATTTTCTTTCCAAAAACCTAAACTTACTTTAAGGTTTTGTCCTTTGCCATTGGATGGATGGTGAATCACACACAAAGAGGGACCCCCCTAATATTATCCCTGTCTTCTTACAATTATTAATTAGTGTCATAAGTTAGATCAAAGGTTTGAAGTTATTTTCTAGAAGATCATGGCAGATGTTAAAGATCTATAGAAGAACAAGTGTGTCATGGACTTGGTTGTTTTCTTCATGCAGAGTTCCAGGGCCCCATTACTCTGGCCATATGGCTCTCCTCCATTCCAAGAGTTCATCACCCATTGGTAGAGAAGCTCTTAGCTCAGAGTAAATTGTACAAAAAGGACAAAGGGGAAAACAAATGTTTTCTTTAATAATGAACCAAAGCCGAATGGTTTGAAGCGGTGGTGAATTTAGGTCAAAATTCTGCTGCCAGACAATCAATGACTGCCCCCAAAGTCTCGAAAGTTTCAAACAAATATTGAAGACTAACCTAATTAGGTTGTGGCAAACATCATACATCCTGAAACTATATATTTTTCCTTTTAAAACTACAACTTCTTTTTTAAAATGATATAGGTGAAAGAAAGTACTGTGTTACATACGTTGTGGCAAAATTTGCAACCCAATAAAACAAAAGAAACCGAATTTAGCTAAAGAGGTCGCTACCTAGTTGCCTTCATGGCATACATGCATAAAATTTACCACCCAATTAAGGTCCAACTATTCTGTTAACATTATTTCTGTTAAGCATTATTACTACACGACAAGTTATCATCGGATTATCATCGTTTGTTCGAAACTGTCTACTTCGAGTTACTTTTGGTGAAGCCCAATACCCCAAGATACATTGAAGAAGAACTTGAACAAGTGGGAAGGTCTCATTTTGGTTGGACAGGCTTCCCTTTTGATTGGCAACTACTATGACAAATACGAGTCGAGAACATAGCCCAACTCATTTAGCCCAAAAAATATACATTCTCTCCAACATTTATTAGCCCACGGAAATGCAAATGAGGACTGCCTCAGTGAAACTGCAGCCTGCAGGCAGTGCACTGATCATTACTGGTTCAATAGTGAATCAGGTGGCTTTGCATCCTATCTCATCCAGACTGAAAACAGAACTAATTATCAAGCTTTATCACATTCACTCTTCTAGCAGGTGAACTAGCACATCATCCCTTCTGCGGAGGACACATTTCATCATGAATGACCATATCCAATCAACAATTTGGGAAAACAAACCCTCCATTCTTGTGCTAAAACCTGATCCTATTGATTGCACTAAAACCAACAATGGAAATACAGTACAGACGTGCAACATTATGCAGGGATTCTGATTGATGGAAGCTAAACACCAGCTGAAGTATGTCCATTTCGGATACATTAAGCTCACGCGTGACTGCATGAAGTGTTCAAGATCACTCCCCCACGATCATACCCTATATCTCCCAATATATGATAGATGCCTAAATAAGCCAGATACATAATTACATATCTGAGGGGCAAACAGCTCATTAGTTCCAAATAGCTGATGATTGGCCATTAGAAACCCCCCTCTCTCTCTCACTTAGGACATCAACATCGTGGCTACATTTCAATGGACTGCACAGTAAAGAGTTCTCAATTTCATTTCATCTACAACCATAAGTTTTCTCAATTACAAATTCTGAATCACCTAAGCAGTACATAATAACCACAATCACACACGTGAACATTACCTCGGTGTGTGAGCTAACAATCTCTTATCTATTTCTTCTTATGTATAAACATCGGACCAAAATTCAATCTGTCTACTGAAGTGTACGAACAAAGAGTAATGCTATTGAGCCAGCTCCAACAAAATTTACATCTAAATAGAAGACAGAACAAAGCAACTTACTACAATCGCCTTTCATCCGTTCTCTGCAACTGCATTTCAATCAGCCTGGCATTGAATTCCCCATCACTAACCCGCAGCATGTTTGACAATGGCATTGTCAATCCATGTTCCACCAAAATCCTATGCCTTCTCTTAATCTTCCCCTCCAAATTAAACGAAAAGTACTGCGGAAACTTCTTCAATTCCTTGACATCCCCATTCATTTCCTTCAGAAAGTAATCCAATTTCGGCTTAAAATTATTCTCTATACTAAATGTCAACAGCCCAGGTGACCTCAACACCATATTCGACACCTCCTCGTAATCAAACCCCAATCCCATTAAGAACTCAACTTTGGGGATCAGAGTTTGATCAACATTAGAAACCAATAGAACAGTGGTTTGGCAAGTGATTCTGTTCGAGCCAACAAAGCCCAATTCTTGCAAGAACTTCAAAGCGGGCTTCAGCTGATTCTCAACACTACAAATCAACAATCTGGGGCACCTAATAAGGGACTTGTGGATATCCGGAAATGGGATTTCGACGTCGTTCAAGAGGAATTCGAAAACGGGGTAAATTTCACCATATGGGTCGGAAGTGAGGAGTTGAGGATACATATCCAGAATACGGCCGACGGCAGAGCGGTCTAAGCCCATGGAAGAAATACATTCTTCGATGGATTGAAGCGAGGACAATAAGGCCGCTCGTATGTTGGGATTCTTTTCTAGGGCTTTGTTTATATTTATGTTGAGGTCTCGGAGGTAGAGAATTTTTTCCCGGAATTTTCTTCCGGAGCCGGCAGCGGTGGAGGAGGAAAGGTGGGTCTGAAGGCCATATTGGTAGTTGAAAGCTTTTGGGAATTGGGTGGATTTTGGGGAGGAAATTATGGTGAATGCGATGAATGGGTAGGGGTTTATCTGTTGAGGAAGAAGCTGCAACCGGAGTACCACCATTACTGGCTATACTGTAAGAGGATTGGGTTTTGGTATAATAATTGGAGAGGGAAGTACTAATTTTTGTTCTCCGTTTTTAAACCCTTTTTGGGTTTTTCAGTTTTCTCATTTGTAGTTCTTTTTGTAACTGAACATAAGAAACGCAGAGAGGCCCAAAACCAAATTCATCCTAAAACCAACTCCTAAGTGCCCCACCAATTGAAATGTTTGCAATTCGACTAGTGAGTTTAGTAACTGTTGTTAACCCGAAAGAAAAAATTAATAATCTCAAGTCTCAACTGTTACAAATTGCGGTAGAAAATAAAAAAAATAACTATAATATCATGTTATAGTGTAATCCACTTCTAGATTTTCCATCTTCTTGTTTACTCCAAATGAGCTCATATTGTTGGGCCTGCAAGGTACACACCCATAAGCTATGTGCACAATTTAAAAGTTGCATCACCAATAACAAGCGAATGAGGTGTTTGGTTCAGTCGCAAAGTTGTTATTACTCTTTCACGAGTATGTTCTAGTGCCCATATATATTCTAAATGACTTACTATAGCAAATTTATACATAAATTTATGATTTTGCAACCAACTCGTCATTCTAGACTTATGATAGTTTATCTCTGGTTGCATGCTTGTTATGATAAAATCATATATCAATTTCTAATTTTATACCTGAATTTGTTACCAACGTTTAGCTATGGCTTGCAGCCGATTGAAGTAGGTGCGAATTCATCAAATCTCTAATCAGGTCCCGGGAGTTGTGTTAAAAAAAAAAAAAAGTTACAAAGAAAAAACGAGAAATACAATAAAATTGCAAACACCACCTTAATTGTTACGTAGATTTGGGTTTAGAAACCCCAGTGACGGTGGGCCTGAAAACACCAACTCTAAGAAATTGGATTCCCGATCTCTCCATAACATAAAGCACACTCATGCCCTCCCTGGACCGGTGTTTTACTTGGGCAAGTTCCCTGAAGGAAATTGTCACTGAATATGGACTATGGACTATGATCACATTTTGGGCTTGTAGTATTATGATAAACAGGGTAGCCTGAGATGCATTTTGTTGATCTATAGGAGTATTAAATTTAGACTTCTTTCAGTTGGTGTACGAAATTCCATTACCAACTAAGGCTCTGTTTGATAATCACTTAATACAATGACTTAATTTATTTAAGTATTTAATTAAATTAAGTGTATTTGATAATTGTTATTAAAAAGTCTTAATGAATTAAGTTTTGAACTAATTAAGTACTTATAAATTAAGTGTGTTTGATAACTAAAATTTCACTATCTGAATTAATTAAGCGTGTTTGAATGCTCAGTTCAATGGTGAGCCAGAAAATAAATGATAGGCCTACCACTTATCACTTAACTTCTATTATGACTCTTTTTTTTCTTTTTTCTTTTTTTCTTTTTTTCCTTCGTCTTTATTTCGACGCTTATTTTTACATTGTTTTAAAATTTTTATTTTCTTTAGATGAATTAATTAAGAGTGCTTAAAATTGAATTTATATTATGAGGATAAAAGATCCCAAACTTTCAAACTCAAATTAAACTAATTTTAATACATGAAATTTTTTAATGAACAAGACATACATATATATGCAATAATCTAAATTTAATTATATATTGATTATTTACCAAGTGTAATATCTACTTTCATTATATATACTGAAAATTTATTTTAAAATCATGATTCTATTATTTAGAATAAAATATTAATTATTTTTTTATTTAAAAGAATTTTATTTATAATTCAATTTTAATGATATTAAAATTTTAAATAACTTTCAGACCTGAGTATTCAGATTCAATCTTCAAACTTCAGACTTCAGTTTTCAGACATCAAATTCAGACGTTTTTATCAAACAATGTAAATTCAGTCTTTAAACTTCAGACTTCAGTGTTAAGTATTAAGTGTTCAGATTCAGACTTCAGTGATTATCAAACGGAGCCTAAATATTAGGAAATGAATCTGGCCTTGAAATGGATCTTTCTAATTGGGTGTCAACTAATTTACATTGGGCATTTGGTATCAAAATGTAGTAAACTAATTACTTCATGCAGCCAATCATGCAATTCTTTATCCGAAAGATCCAAGGAAAAAACCAGTGATTTCAAGTGCCATTGGAAATGGGCATAAGTGACAAGAAGACCTTCTTCCAGCTTATAACTCACCCTACGGAACGAGCTGAGGTCCAGAGGACAACCATGCTCCATTTTTATGTTTATACTCCCTCCGTCCTATAATTATTATCCAGTTTGAGTTTTCATTTATAGTTCAAATTGTACTAAATGTGAAATCTTAAACTGGATAATAATTTTGGGACAAAAAGAGTATATATTATAGTAGAACATTCAATCTAGGCAAACTTTCATTTGTTATATTCTTTTCGTCTTCACAAAAATAAAGCAAAACTAAAGTTGTTAAATTGCCTTAATCGAACAAGTATTACTTCTTTTTGTGGAAGAAAAAGTGATCAAGTTATTATTTGATTTTCAATCACTAGTTTTTGATTCTCTGATTGATAGCTACAAAAATATACCATAAACATTATCGTTAAGTATCTCTATCATCACTGTCATTACTCATTACTCGTGTTATTCGAACATGTCACGTTGCTTTGTGGAAGATGTGCCGTTCTTAACTCCTAATTAAGAAGATTTGCAACTGGGTAAAATTTTTTGTTTTTGTTTTTTTTGGTAACACCATATCCAACGTGAATTTTTTAATATATACTTCATAACCAGTACCCAATGATTACAGATTTTTCTGGTACAAGACTTTGATTAAAGATTTTCCGTATAATAATTTTTCGATTCTTGTACCTGTGGTGTTGTGGGAATGAATATATGCCTAGTTGTAAAAAGATAGATATAGGCTTAACTGCTTAAGTGGCGATGCCGTTGGGGAATGCATGTGAAATACTCAAACTCACAGGTACTTGTACCAAAAAAAAAAAAAGTCAACAGAATAAAACTGAGATGAGGAAGGCGGGGCCAGAGAAGAGGATGGATGACGATACCCAGGGAAAAAAGCAGCGGCCGAGCATCCCCGGAACCACCGGGATCTACGGCGTTTCCCACATGGCCTCTATCCCTGTCGGTCTTATTCTTATTTGATGATGATGGTACGTACGTAATAAGACGATGACGGTTCTAGTTCTACTACCACTATTTTGATTTTGCCACGCCCCCTTTTAATTTTCTTTCTTCCACTCCCCCCCATCTTAAAGTGTTTCCCAAATTGGAGTAAATCACCCCCCTTTGGCGGGACTCACCACACTAATACTTCATTAGTCCCACAAATTTTGCATAAAAACGTGTAATTTTTTCTTTGCATAAACCACTCTTATGTTTCTAGTGAGAATAATGTTTTACAGTGGTGATGATTTGTGACTGTACGTTAAATAATAGTAAGCTAATAAGTGAAGTGGATAACGCAAACCCTGATAACCATCCACATTACACTAAACATGATTCAGTTGATATAACGTGGAAGGCATCCAATATATCCTCGTAAAGTCAAATGATTTTGAAGGCTTAATTTGGTTAGTTATTATAGTAATGGGATGAGATGTCATCCTTATTTTCTTTATTAGTACTCCCTCCATTTTTTTTATATGTCTTACTAAAGAAATCATCAAAACTAATAAAACATTAATTAATATAATTAAAATACAAAAATACAATTATTTATTATCAATATAATCAATCATAAATCAATAAAAATTCATTATAAATACTGTTTTATTTCCAATATAAGAATAATATTCATAAAAAGTGATCAAATATATCTCGATTGATGAAAATAATATATATTTAAAAAAATTCATCAAATTTTTAAAATAACATATATTTTGGAGGGAGTACTAGTAAAAGAGTAAAGTCAGTTAGTCTCGAGAATGCCATTACTGAATGTGACAATAAGTCAATAACTACCTGCAGAATAGGATTAAATTCCACATTGCTTGAATTCATGAAACAAGAAGAAGAAAATGAAATTGAAAGACCCGATATCATATCATCATCATCATTCAATAAAATGTTTCAAATTTCAATGTGTAAGTGAGAGACTACTCACGGGGCTCTAGATTCTAGAGAAAGTTTCTTCTGACCCTCTCTTTCTCTTCATCGCCCAGAAATTTTTCAAAAACAAAATTATTTCTTTTTCTTTTTTAAAAAAATGTACTTACAGTTACAGAGAGGTTTGACTAGTCCTTGTCAGAGTTCTGCAAGCGTTGCCCAAACCCAAAAAGTAGTACATGGGCTCTCCCGCCCAAATCACTCACTCCCCTATCAGGTCCTCCTCTTAATTGTACTTAACCAATTTGCCTTTTATTAATAGGAAAATGGCAAAAATCCCCTGAGTTATGTCCCAAAGACTAATACCATCCTGATTTTTCATATAAGGACAATTACTCTCTTGACCGTTAGTCAATGGCATAATTGACCACCCTAGGGAAAAAATAACCAAAATACCCTTTTCATTTTAAAACAAATTTTTGTGGACAAATTCTATCTTTTTTCAAAAACTTATTTTGTTTAACAAATCATCAAAAGATTTATTTAAACATAAGACATATTATTTAAGGATAAGACACATTTATTTGAGGATAAGATTTATTCACAAACCTATTTTGTTTAATTTATCTATGGTTGAATTTCTTTTTTAAAAAAAATGATAGACTTCAACCATATTCTACATTAATTTTATTAATAGTGGACAAATTCAAAAGATGAATAATGTTGAAATTATGCTAAATTTTGGACAAATTATATATTTTTTTGGAAACAATATTCAATCCTAACCAAATTAGTTTTTTACAAAAATTATTTATTTATTTTAAAAAAATTATTTTTAACAAAAATCGGTGAATATTTTTATTCCTAAATAAATTTTCAAATGATTTGTTAAACAAAATAAGCCATTAAAAAAAAGAAGATAAAATATGGATCAAAAAAATTATTTTTAGACAAAAAGGGTATTTTTATCATTTTAACTCTCGAGGGGTTCAATTATGACGTTGACTAGAAGTCAAGAAGAGTAATTGGTCTTAAAGGAAAACTCAAGATGGTATTAGTATTTAGGACATAATTCGGGGGCATTTTTGTCTTTTTTCCTTTATTAATTGGACTTTATGAACACATTCAAAAACAAAAAAAAAACAAAAAACTCCCATAGTCCTTTTTTATTCTTCTACTTTGACATTCAAACTTCGAAGCTTGTGAAAAAAAGTTCTTGACTTTTTAAGGGTTCAAATTTATTTACCTGCTTTAGATGATTCCAGAATCCCAGTGCACTGGTCTGGGGTTTCGAAAATTGGAATTTTTGTTTATTCTTTAATTACAGTGTCTTTCCAATTGAAGGCCTGAGTTTTTTTGATGCGATACGAAAGCTTCAGGTCATGAGGAAAATTTATTAAAGTTTTGAGACCACTGGTGGATGGGATCATAATCGTTGTAAAATCTTCCAGAGATTTCTTAACACAGTTGTCACTAGCTCAAACGCCAGTACATCTTATCAACTTAATAATCAAAGCCTAACGTGTGAGTGAATAGTTGGACTTTTGGGCTTGGACCAATTGTTACTGTTTGTTCCTAAATGTTGTTGAAAAGAACACTTTAATAAAAGTTAATGAGAAGAATCCAATTATTTTAGTTGATCTTATGTAAGATTTTTTTTTTTACTCAGCTAGGTACTAGTTAAATGATTGATAACTGTATGATTATTTTTTTAAAAAGTTCACTTATCATTTGATTATTGTAATCTTAGTATTAGTTATAGTATCACGTAGAGCTGGCTCAACGTATGTTGAGACCTCAAGCGAAATTGAAATTTGGGGCCCTTTAATAGTCAAATTTTGATAAATAAAAATTTCATTAAAAAACTTTAATAATTTCGATACAAATTTTTTCAAATAATTTAAATTCTACATACTTTGCATATCAAAATATTTACGGTAGTATAACTTATTTTATTATTTTTTCAAGGATTATTATATAAAATAATTCCAAAATATAATTATAGTTAATAATATCCTAAAAAATGTGGCCCAAATAATATGAGGCCTAAAGCTCTATCTTTAATAGCCTCCCCCTAAAGCGTCTTTGGTGTCAAATATTTAATTAGTGTTTTATTGAATGTAATACAAGTAAAGAATCGGTGTCAAAAGAATCATATACTGTATATATTTCACTTTTGTAAACAATCATTCGTATTTGTTTTCCGTTTCTTTTTTTCCATAAAGCATACAATTGTAAGTATCATACTCCCGCTTATATTATTGACCTTAATTTTTAAGCAATGTAAAATCCATCCAAAAGATGATACTACTCGAGCATTTTGTCCCTTTAATATCCATGATGTGGAACCAAAGGGAGAAAAGTAAAAAAACAATTATGGCAATTTCTGTCGTAATTACAATGGGGTTTTATAAATTAATTAACGCCCCTGTTTCCTTCACGTCGTTTCGCAGTTGCAACTAGTCTGACCAGATATCCTCAACCCTCCAACAAATCAAATTTTGCGAGAAAAACTGTCATTGGAATCATGGGGAAATTTGTTTACGACACAGGGCAGTGATTCTTGTGATCTATTGAAAAAGACAAGAATCTAATGTCAAGAATGAAAAAAACATTCAAATGGACATTGACTCATTTTACTTCTACCCATGAGGCCGGGAGGAATAATGTGAACAAAAGGATGCTAATGGACAAAATATACTATCCTTCTTACTTTTTTTACCCAGCTTTTGCAGAACAGAAATCTCCAGCACAAGAAGGAGCCATTGAGTAGTAGTACTTGTTTTCAAATTCAAAATCACAAGTATCAACTATCAATCATCTGACTGGAAAGCTACATATAATTCATCATTTTTAGGGCGATTTACCACCTTCAACCGGAATGTTACTGCCGTGAAAATTCTCTGTTTCGTCAATGTAAGTGCGTGATAAGTACTCCTTCTGTCCCAGAAAAATAATCCAATTTAATAAAAAATTTTGTCCCTAAAAAATAATCCAGTTTCACAAAAGTCTAAATTAGTTGAATTGAAATGACTTAAATATCCAAAAGAATTTTTTTTTTTTTTGAAATGAAATATCCAAAAGAGTAGTGGTAAGGAAAATAAGGTCAGCTTCTTTTGATTTTCACAAAAGGCATATCTTTTAATACATGAATAATTAAAAAAATGTGTTAAATATCAAATTAATTTACGTAACGAGATATTTCCATCAAGATCCATTGTCAATATTTTTTTAGATAAAAATTCTGATCAAATTTAAGTTGTAAAATAAATGCATATGTAGTTAACTTTTATAGAAATAACGTGAAGGGGCATTAGTGGAAGTTAGGGGCATAAAATGAGTTGTACATTTAGTGTGTTGACCAAATTAAAAAAGTTGTACATTTTCAAACTGGACTATTTTTGTGGGACGGAGGGAGTATTATTTATCTCACAATATCAAAGATCAGCTCTATGAACTATTATGAGCCGCGTGTCAAATTTGTATTTTTTCCGTTTCCAAAAAAATTGTATTATAATTTTTGAAATGTACTATGATTTTAAGTACAATTAACAAATTATAATGTAGATTACTTTTTAAAAAAGAGAATACAATTTAAATGTTGTTTTTGTTGGGGTTAAAACTATCAAAACTCCCGGTTTCCACGTTATCAGAGACATCCAAATCGCAATCCTTTTCATTGTTCAATTTCATGCATTTTCCAAGCTAATCGTACAATTTTTATTCTACGTTTAGTTTTAGACAGTAAACCTTAATTGTTACGTCACCATAAAATGCTGCTGATAGCCACATACAGATCCATCTTAATCAAACTACACAACTTGCTGAGGTTAATCTTACCTTTTATTTCCCCAGCTTTTCAATTTTGCGGTACTATTTGAACTTTGAAGGTGCTCAAGAGAGAAACGAAAGGAGAAAAAGTGTCAAATACAGAGTGAGAATAGCATTTCCAGTCCTTCAAACTTCATCGTTTACCATTTAGTCATTCACCAGGTCCTTAAGTGTCACCCTCAAATTCCAGTTGCGCAATTATTTTGTTAAAATATTACCATTCGGAATTTTTAATTCATATGGTTTACTTTCATCATTTGTCAATTAAATAGTATTCCCTCCGTCCTAAAAAAATAATCCACGTTTAGTTTTAAAATTTATATTAAAAATAGTATAAATTTGTAATATTATTTTTTGGGACGGAGGAAAGAGTGTTTTGTTTCAAAGTATCATTTCCCAAAAGCTTCCATAATTTCAGACTACTCAAAATAGTAAAGGAATGGACAAGAAAGTAAGAAACAGAAATGCAAGCAGAGTAATTCATATAATAATGGCACTCTTGCATTACTTTAGTCAAATTCGATGTACAATAAAAATCTCAGTACAACCCATAAAAATTAAAAGGACAACTCCGTCCGGCAGAAATGCAGTAAAATCACTTCTTCAGGCGGGTGGTAACAGTCCACCTCTGCCTTTTCTTCTTCCGCCATTAAAACGGAAGAAAATAAACCCAAAAACCCCAAAAAGAAAATAAAAATAGTACTAACCCCTAACAAAATGAGGGACAACCTTAAAATATGCCCATCTCATTTTAATCCCAGAGGCCAATACTACCTTTGCCTAATTACATGTATTTTTTCTATATCAAGGTGAATTATCACCATTTTTACTAGTTAAGGGCACCACTCTAATTGCTAAAAGCCCCCCATTTAGCTAGTGATGAAAAGAGAAATACAGTCACCATATTAAATCCAGTGACCATACTACTAATAAAACCAAAAAAAAAAAACTCCCACAAAGAAAATCATACTAGTAGGAATAAAAATTACTAGTTGTTGACTTGTTTCAGCGGAATTGGGCACCGGAATAAGTTTGACCGTAGGACCATCCGGCAGGGACAGCATTGTAGGACACAACAGTCCGGCCATCACTGGTGGTGACCTTAAATGAGAGGCTCTGGCCATTAAGATATGAGTTGCTTTGCCAATTCATTCCCCAGTTCCTGGACATTTGCTGCCACCCGGTTCTGGACCCTTTGATTGCAACCGAACGGACATCTCCGGCACCACCAACGTTGGTGACCAAGACCAAGTTAAAGTAGGCGTGACCGTTAATTGTGAATCTTATTCCACCCCTTCTTCTGCAGGGTACCCTACAATAAACAAAAGCCCAAAATTTAGAATCACTTAAAAACTTTTTACAATTAACCCACCAAAAAAAAGCAGATTCTTTTTCATAATCTAAATAGTGCACCCCATGTGTACACTGCATTTACTATAGTGATGGAAGTGTGTTTAGTGTTTACTTTTTGGTCCCACAATTGTATGTTTAAAGTGTTTCAGCAAGAAAAGCTCAGAGATTAAAGTTGAAAACTTTTTGACCTGTAATAATTCTAATTTTTTAAATTTCTATTTTTCAATTAGATTATATACCTTCTGTAAGAAACAGGGACAATTCCAGCTCTGTATTGTGCAATGTGAAGAAAGACAGGTTGAGAAAGGTCAAAATGCTGGAGAGGAGGATTGCACCATCCTCCGGCATTGTTTGGCAAGGCGTTGTTTGGTGGGCAGAAATCGGTGGCCGTCACAATGATGCTTCCGGGAAGGCATGATTTTGAGCCAACACATCTAATCTCAAAGCAAGATCCACAGCTCAAGCCATTGTTAAACAGAGCAGTACTCAGAGCAGCAATGTTTGTTCCATAACCTGTGCTGTAAAGATTTCCATATCCACAAGCTCCACCTGAAATTGAAAAAAGACACAATCTTTAAAAACTAGTACCCAAAGAAGTTCAAAATGAGAGGGGAATTTATGAATTATGCATACCCATTGTTCCAGATGCATCACCGCCTCCATAAAAGGTGGCATGAGCATCAGTCCAACCGCCATAACCATGAACATTTGACACCATTGCAAGAAAACCCACCAGGAAAAACGCAATGACAGCCATTGTTTATGAAGAAAGGGAAAAGAAAGAGAGATTTAGTTAGTGTGTGAAGATGAAAAGTAGAAAGAAGTTGGGTTGTGAAGAATGTGGCAGGGGAAGGAGGGATATAAATAGGAAAGAATGGAGAGGTAGGCTTTTGGTGCTCCAAACCTACAAGAAGACTACAGTAACAACTAACTGAAACTTTTTTTATGTTGGGGACCAACAACTGCCTAGGCACAAACCATTAATTTAACCTCAAAATTAAAAAAAAGGGTTTTTTTTTTTGGGAAAAAAAAAGAACAACAATAAGGAGGAGAAATTAGGAAGGTAGGGGAACTATTATTATTAATAAATAGGGGGTTTGAATAAGGCTAAAATTCAATTCGGCTTGGAGGGATGAGATTGTAAAGCATGTGGGTATTTTGGAGCTTTTAGTGCAAGTGGGGTCATTTTGTTTTGATTTCCTCTTTCAGCTCTCAAAATCTCCGCACATGCAACCCTGATGTTATCTTCCATTTCCTTTTTCCTTTTTTTTTTTTTCTTTTTTGTTTTTGTTTTCAGGAAATTAATAATAAGAAAGGAATAAAAATGCAGTCTTGAGAGTTTGAGACTAGAGAGTTGAAGAGCTCAGGTGCCCTTTTCCTTTCATTTGTTCACGTTCTCTCTTTTTTACTTGATGATACTCCCTCCGCCCATAATTATTGTCCATTTTGAATTTTCATTTTTAGTTCAAATTGCATTAAAAATGAAATCTCAAATTGGACAATAATTTTGGGACAGAGGGAGTACTTTTTTTTTTATCTAGTGTCTAAATTCTCAAATGATTTATGTTTGGATCGATTTTTAGTATGTATTTTTAAGTATTTTTTGTAACAAGTTGTGCTGAGATTAAATAATTATTATTATATTATTCTGAAAAAACCCAATGGAAAAACGAAACAAACAGAGATTTAAATCGAAAATTTTAGTTTAAGAGATGAACAATTCTCTGTTTGTTTGATTTTTTTAATGATTTTTTCAGTTTATTTTTCCATCCGACCATAACTTTTTACATTTCCAATACACCTTTTTACATTCCCAATACAAAAAATACCTAAAAACACACACTAAAAAAACGAAACAAACATACTCTAGTGTTTGATCGGAGCATGAATCAGGTATCATTATTAATTTCGATTCGATTGAAATAAATCTATACATAATACTGAATATTTTTTTTTTAAAAAAACGATATGGAATGTACAGTATGAAGAAGATTTTAATTAATTAATAAAAATTTATATTAGGATTCAAGACCTAATCAGAATCTCAATTCGGCACTTTAACCAAATGGACCTAGTGTTAATTTGTTGGTGGCGTCCAAGTAAATTTTGAGAGAATACTGTAGTCGTTTTTGTTTCATTTACTTTCCTCTTATAATTTTGTTACATAGTCTATCTTTTACTATCCATTAAACAATATAAGAACACAATATATAACATGTTACGGAATACATTTAACTTTTGTTATTTAAATATTATGTAGGTGATATTTAAATTTACAGAAATGTGCCGTTTCGGTTCATTTTTTTCCCACTGCTGTTTTATCCTCGTAACATAATGATGGAGTTGGTTGCAGTATTTCCTGAAAGGCAGTTACTTTGTATCAAGAAACTAATCGTTGTGGTATCAAAGTCTTTCTTCTTTTATTTTTTATTTTTTTCTTTAAGATAGACAAATGAATGTTGTACCCAAACAATAATAGAAATAAATGAACCTTTAGTGTTAGGGTTCTAAGCTTTACAATATTTTGGCTATATTTTAGAGTGCACACTGCACAGTGAAGCAGCCAGCAGATGAAGACTGGAAGTAAACTACGCCCACGGATTTTCTTCATCAGAGAGAGCATAATTGAATTCGTAGCGCGAAAATATGGAATATATCTGCATTCATAAATTGGATAGTAGTAGTTGAATAATTTCACATGGCTAGAAGAATAATTCTAAAAAAAAATTTGCACAGCCCACAATTTTAATACCAAAAGATGCTTTAGAAAGTCTGCAAGGAAATACTGCCTACACTACACTTTAGAGGTTCTTCCTAAACCACTTTTCATCCCATATATTGTTACTGTTACTAGTTTTAAAGGTTTAAATTACTTGGGGTTTTTAGCTATTGGCTTTGACTAGTAGTATTAAAATGTCTTTTGCCAATTATTTCATCTGTTGAGACCTCTAAAAAATAATCGAAAAAGGACATAGTCATTTTTTTTTTCCAAAGCGATGAGGAACCCTTTGTTTTTCAAAAATTTTGTCACGGAAAAAAAAAAAGGGTAAAAATACATACACTTTTACGTCCCCCACATGATTGATTTCTTATGGGATGATAATCAGATGATGTGACCATACGTTGCTACCTAGTATATGAGATGAGCTTTTATTTCTGGGCTAATTTTGTTGCTCATTTAAGTTGAATCTTCAATAGAAAAAAGATACGTTTGAGATTTGCTCCTTAATATTTTATGTGGCTAGTTTATTATTTTGAGTGTGTACAAGTTAATATTACTTCAATGTCACTCCATAATTCTTGCTACAAGTGGTATGCACTTATTATGATGTTAGGTCATTACTCGAGAGTTACAGTAAGTACTACTACTATTATTTTGTCTCTTCTAAGATTTGGAAATACGTTACTAAGTCCATCATAATTCGCGTGAATGATTATAATTAAGCGATTCCTCCTAATCTGATATGTAATTGTTTTTTCTGTCTTGAAAAAATAATGCATTTTAGTTAACTATATAGTTAGAAAACTATCTAAGACGCTATGGTGAACAAATTCGGAAACTAAATCTTATAATCTGTAAAACTGAATATATAACTTAGAATGTCGAGTAAATATATTCAACTAACGATTATAATGAGACGGATGGAGAAATAGTTTTTCTTAATTTGCTGGGCAAGAAATGGTGTTGCAAATTAATTTGGATTTGGAATTTGGTTGAATTAAAGAGACGGGTTGAATATGAACGGTGAACTATATTGGAGCTGGACCAAAATATGAAATGCTAAGCGGTCCACGTAAAAAAGAAAATATGGGAATGAACATGCAATATACGATAAACCATTTGCAAAAAACCAAAAATAAAAAATAAAATTTGCATTAATTATGTGAAATTTTTCCTTCACTAAAAAAATGGTCAATTTCTTTCCTCCCCCATCACAAAGATATTGGTTTTAAAATATATTTCCGATTTACGAATATATACTGAAATAGCCGGATAAGTTGAATATATGCTAGCCTTGGTTGGATCAAAAGGATGAAGAGATAAAAAGATAAAAAAGGATAAAAGAAAATATCTTTGGATCGCAGGCAATTTGCCCATTTCGAAAACGATGGCCTTGGTGATTTTACGGCTACTCTCTGATGGCAAATTGCACCTGCAAAATCTGATTCAAATATTTACAACATTTTGGTCTTCCACGAAGCTATTCTTCTTTTGGCCTTTCCTTCCCTCATCCCCATCGAAACTCAATTTGGCTTTCTCCTTTAAACATTGTTGGCTATTTTCCAACCTCCCAAACTGAAAATTCTGCCAAAAAAAATAAAAAATAAAATCCCTACTTGATAAGATTACAATGTTACTCTCAAATTCCCATTTGGTAAAACTTTCACATGTATAGAATCCCATTCCTTATCAGCCAAATGGATAAAAAAATGTTCTTGGAGATTTTCATACCGAGGTTGCGATTTTTTTTTTAATCTCTTTATCGTTTATAGTCAATTGATTTTTAGACGAGTCGTAGAAATTCTTTTTATACGGATGTTCAAATTCTGTAACTTAGATTTTTTCCGAAGGGACAAATATTACAATTGGCCTATTGGGTGTGTGCATGACTACATGCATATCCACAATTGGGAGATTCGTTCTAGCTAGTTGTTCCCCTATGCTGAATAAATTTTGCTTGCTAGTAAATGGACCATCAAAATTCACGACTCCCGTCTATATACTCTAGATTCAGCACCATAAAAAAAGTTTATGCAATCAAACTTTTCAACGTTCTTGGGGAATCATTTTACTCACGAGTTACAATAATTAATTATAACCAGTTTTCCGCTTCTTTGGAGTAGTACTACGTAGTACTATTGTAGTAGTAATACCAAAATTAATGATGGGATAACGTTTAACCTGACTTCTCTTCCTTGCAAATTGCTAGATTGCTACGTTTTTTTTTTAAAATTTTTTTTTTTTATATGTAACGGTGAAAAAACTATTCCTTTTCAGCAATTTTCCTACAGCATTCCGAAACTTTCATTCATCTAGGCTGCCCAGTAATTAGAATTATTATTTATTTTTTCGAAAGTCATCACACAGAATAACTTCACATTACTTTAACGAGTACAATATATAATGAAAATCATGACACCAATCATTCTACAAGAGATCGGTGCGATTACAATATAAATTTAGTCGACCAAAATTTTGTCTTGTACTACGGACATTATCACAATTATAGAATACAAGTATAACATGACTTAAATCAAATATTTGTCACCATATCTTTGCAAAATACAAAACTTCAACGCCGGCCAACGATGCAAAGTGATTAATTTTATAGCCGAAATTCATTTCATCTGGTACTTTTCTCCTAATGATCGAGCATAAGACATTTTATTTTGTGTATTATACTGCTACACATTTCATTTTTGTCTTTTAGGAAAAGGAACATGCTAGATTAGGTGATGGCAACTTCTATTCACTGCATACCGAAAGTGAGAGTTAGGAACCTTTTGTTCCTAATTAGCCCTCCAAAAAATGTATAAAATGTGACGAATCATCCGAATTGCAATTAAAAAATTTGATTAAGATTCTAATTATTCGATGTAATTGTTAAACGAGAATTAATCATTATTGTTCTTTTGTACTACTATATCCAATCTTAAATAATTTTTCTTTAACTTATTAAGAAGACATTCACAATGTATCAGAATCCAATAATTGGGCATGCACATGGATGGTTGTTATTATGCGAAGTAGCAAAAATAAATAATACAGGTCAAAGAGCCATTTATTTGCGTAGCAAACAAGTACATATGATATCACCTTAAATGACAAAATCGTACCGACAAAATTGTTCAATCAAAATGAAATTAAAAATAAAAATCACATTCTTAATCATATCTTGTGATGACTTTAATGTGAACAACAATCTTTCAATTCTTAGGTGGATTACAATAAGTAGAACGGTATAATTATTAGTACTACCATTGTTGTGATTATTTCAACAAGAAAACAAGTGCAAAGAAATCAGCACAAGAATCCAATCATAAAGCA